GCTCATTTAACTTATATGCAGAACACATAATGCAAAAGGCTGGACTGGAGGAAACCCAAGCCAGAATTAAGATTGCCGGAAGAAACATCAACAATGCAGATGATACCACTCTGATGGCAGAAAGTGAGAAGGAATTAAAGAACGTCTTAATGAGGGTGAAAGAGGATAGCACAAAAAATGGTCTGAAGCGCAACATCAAAAAAACTAAGATCATGGCCACTGGTGCCATCACCTCCTGGCAAATAGAAGGGGAAGATATGGAGGCAGTGACAGATTTTACTTTCTTGGGCTCCATGATCACTGCAGATGGTGACAGCAGCTACAAAATTAAAAGACGCCTGCTTCTGGGGAGGGAAACGATGACAAACCTAGACAGCATCTTAAAAAGCAGAGACATCGCCTTGCCCACAAAGGTCTGCATGGTCTTGAGAGTCCCCTGGAGTGCAAGGAGAACAAACCTATCCATTCTGAAGGAAATCAACCCTGAGTGCTCACTGGAAGGACAAATCCTGAAGCTGAGGCTCCAGTACTTTGGCCATCTCATGAGAACAGAAGACTCGCTGGAAAAGACCCTGATGTTGGGAAAGTGTGAGGGCAAGAGGAGAAGGAGACAACAGAGGATAAGATGGTTGGGCAGTGTCATTGACGCTACCAACATGAATTTGACCCAACTCCAGGAGGCAGTGGAAGACAGGAGGGCCTGGCGTGCTTTGGTCTATGTGGGCACAAAGAGTCGGACATGACTAAATGACTAAACAACAACAACAGTTTAAAATCTGATACAGTGGTGCCCTGCATGTTTAGCGAAATCGTCATCATGTGAAATCAGTTTCCCCATTGGAATGCATTGAAACCCGTTTAATGTGTTCCAATGGGGAAAATATCTCGTCGTCCAGCGAAGATTGCCCATAGGGAAGCCATTTTGTGAGCGCCGATCAGCTGTAAAAATGGCTGCCCTGCGAAGCATGGGTCCGGAAAACAGGGCAGCCATTTTGCAGAGCCGGAAAAATTGTCGTCTTGTGAACAAACAGTTCGCGAAGCGCAGACCTGATTGACGTCCAGCGAAAATCCCCCATTGGAATGACTGTTTTGCGAATTGCTATAGCGATCACAAAAAGTCATTGTAATGTGGATTCGTCGTTCAGCAGGGTCGTCGTCTTGCGAGGTACTACTGTATGTGCGTTTTTTCATACTTTGTAAGTTACTTGAGGTATAATGCAGTCAAAATCTGTAACTGCCAATCTGTACAAAAGCCTATCTAATACTGCATGTAGCATCTCTCTGTCTGGAAAAAGCTTTTTATTTTAAAGAATATACATAATAATTGCTTTCATTGCTTGGAATATACAGTGTCTTTATTACAAAAGCACTTCCCTGATGGAAGGTATGCAGAATGGAAAAGGCCTGACCCCAGAAACACAGACTATGCAGTTTAAATTCATCTTTTTTATTGATGCTTAGTTGCAAGTAGCTAGCTTATTTGGGAACAAGGAGTGTGTTTCTGCCATAGTAAATTATCATTGCCTTGTACTGGTATCTAAATATGGAATAGACCTGTCTGGCATAATAGTTATTTTTAAAGATGCTTTGGGGAAAATGGATTATTGCCTGCACTTATACAAGAAACTTCACATCTTACTCTTCTTTTTCATTTTCCTATTGTGATCCTAAGTTCCTTCTTACCTCAACTAGGAGACACTGGCCAAACCTGGCTCACCAGGAAAGTGAGCCAGGTTTGTTTGCGTGCACGGATGTACGAAAAATCACCAGTTTACACCTCTTTTAGCCTAAATTTCTTGCTGTTTTTCCTAGTGGTGCCAGATCTCACCATTGTACCTTACATGATAGAAGTACTCATAAGCCCAAAATTAGAGGGATTTTTGATTCCTACATTATAAATATTTTGGTGAAGTATATAACAACCTGAAAGTCAACTGGGTTAAAAATATGGATTATTAGGTTGCTGAGTTAACACACTCTAACTGACAGGTGGCAGATTTGGGATGTGCTGACTGCAGGTTGCTCTGGATGCTGAAATTCTGCCGTTGCATTGAAGTACTCGTGGGACTAGATATCAATGAAGATGTGATGAAGGAGAAAATGTAAGGAGAAAGAATGCACTTTTTCTTTTGTTAAAGCAGGCTTTTAATGTCCTAGAAATCTCATATATAAGTATAAAAAGATGGCGTAGGATGAAGCAGGAATATGAAGAGCTTAGTTTCCCCCTTTTTAAAAAGAAGGTGGAAAGATTCCTGAGGCTTCTTACTTAACAGCTCAGTTCTAAACAAAAGACTAAGAGTTAGCTAAAGGATTTGAACCAGTGGATAGAATGGCAGAAACTCACTAGGAGGTGGTGGTTTTTAGAAGTATTTTTAAAATATCTCTTGTGCCTTGAAAGCTCGATTAGCGTCACTGTATGTGAGAAGCTATTTGATGGCACATAGCACATACATGCACATCAGAATGAGAAAAGAGCACGCCTACCATTGTTTGCTAGTTGCTCTTTCTTTCACATTCTACAGGCAAGTTTTTCGTAGCCATTAAGATCTTTATTTTCAAGCTTAAAGTAATCAGTTCAACTAATCATCAATAATAACCAATAAGTGAATGAATTGTGCTTTCTTCCAAATACTGTATCATTAAGATCTTTATTTTCAAGCTTAAAGTATCAGTTCAATAATAACCAATAAGTGAATGAATGGTGCTTTCTTCCAAATACTGTATTTATTTCAGTTAATTTCACTGAACATGTTAGCTAAATTGTCATGTAATATTTAGATAGTAAATAAGATGTCCTTATTGCCCACTGAAATAAGTGCAAATTGAAGAAAACTGATATGTCTAATATCATACCATGGCCTTTTACATGTGAAACAAAACAATTCTGGTTGAATTCACCTTGTCAAAAATATTAATGTGCCTTAAACAATACATATTAATAGATATGATAGATCTGCAGGAATGTTTCTGGCCTGTCAAGCTTTGCTATGGTATCTGCACATTAGTCCTTCCTCTTTTAAAACTTTTGAAAGCTTTTGAGACCATCTCAAAAACTGTTGGGCTGTTTCCAGGTGAAAAGTGCAAATTAAAGGTTTGTACCAAGAAACAAAATCTTCTGAAAATAATTTGTCCCATAAGTTGTGCGTGCTGTCAGTATAACATACATGAAACAAGGAATATAAACAGATGGGATTTAATTTTTTTTTTCCGCTTTGCCTTGAAATTGTGCAGACCTAATGACTTCAGGTGATATGTCAATCTCTTTGTCTGTATTGAGGGCAAACACTGAAGTTGCTGGTGAGGTTGAAGATGCAGTGAACGTCAGTATCTGATTCTTTGAGACTTGAAACATTAGTTGCACTTTAATGGTTTAAATTCTAAGCAATATTGAATTTCATAGTTTAAATATTTAATATGAAGTACTGTACCCGTATTTTTCCGTATACAGTGGTGCCTCAATTTATGAATTTAATCCGTCCCAGAAGATGTTTGTAAGTGGAAATGCTCATATGTCGATGCACCATTTCACATTGAAATGCATGGGAATGGGATTAAGCTGTTCCAGCATTTTAAAAAAATAAAAAAATAACACTGCAAGCCCCTGGGGCTGCAAAAAACAACACAAATCCAAAAATAAACATAAACATAACCCCACCAGTCCAATCCCACCCTGCAAAAGCCAACCAAAACAGTAAAAAGCAAAAAGCAGCGCCTTACTGCCACTGCCCAGCCCAGGCTCCACCGCCACCACTGGTGGGAGGCTTCCCGGGCTTCCAGCACCGCTGCAGGGAGGCATCCTGGGCTTCTGGCACCACCACCAGGAGGCCTCCCGGGCTTCCAGTGCCGCCTCCAGGAAGCCTCCGGGAGTCCTCCCATTACCTCACCGTCCCAGGGGGAAGGCTGGCTTCTGTCCAGGGAGGAAGTCCCGCGGGGATGCACAGGCAGCCGAGTGGGACAGGAGCGAGGCTCCCTCCTTTCCTCCTCTCCGCCGCCCCATCATCCCACGGCAGCAAGAGCCCTTCCCCGGGTCGTTGGGCACTCTTGTGGACAGGGTGCCGGGAGCCTAGGTGCCCCAGAGCCGAGAGAACCGGAGTGCACCTGGCCAGCCCTGGCATATTCCTCCCGTGGCACCAGCTTTCCCAGGCGGGCTGGCAAAAGTTGGCCAGGCTACAGTCTATGTCCATGTCTGGCAGACCACCACCCCCGGCCAGCCTTCCCCCCCCCCGCAGCAGGGCAAAGTTTGGCGGCGGCGCCCCTCCTCCCTACATGCGGGGCTGGCGGGCGCAGGGGAGTCACCTCTGCCAAGCATCTTGAAGGCATGGCGGCTGGTCCCTGAGTGGCGCACACACTGGGCAGCGGCAGGGACTGAGGAGTCAGCGGTGACTGCTAGTCTGAGAGCCTCGTTGGAGGACGGAGCAGTCACATTGCGCAGCCGGTGGTGGATGCCAGAGAGGCTTCCCATTGGTGGCGGTCGCGGCAGCGGTGGAAGCCCAGGAGGCTGAGCATGCCCGGGATGGTCCAGCGGCTTGCCTCCCAGTGGTGGCGGTGGAAGCCTGGGAGGCTGAGCCTCCTTTTTTCTAACCATTGGGGCGAAAGAGCTACAAAGAAACAGCCTTTTCACCACCAATGATTTGAATTTTCCACCTTTTTCTGTTCTTATGTCAAAGCTCCGCTCGTAAGTTGAAGCAAAATTTTGTGAGCAGAGCTGCTCGTAAGTCGAAATGTTCATAGGTAGGGGACGTTCATAAGTTGAGGCACCACTGTATAAAATGATACATTTGTCTAAAATCTTTAGACTAAAATTGATGGTCTTCTTTTACACGGAATTAAGCTGAGGAGAGAACAAAATAATTGGAAGGGGGAAGGGATCAAAGCAATCCTGCTGCGCAATCCTGCAAAGCCTCCCATGGGGCTTAGGAAGTGGCAGGAAAAGCAGTGAGCAAAGGGGTCCTGCAGCCCTTTGCTCACTGCTTTCCCTCTCCTTTTGCTAAGCCCAATTTTTCTAATTTGGGGTTAGAAAAGTGTGGGTTGTCTTATATATCAGGGTGTCTTATAAATGGAAAAATACGGTATTTGCACAACCTTATTTTATATTGAATATATAAGCTGGGAAGCACAGGTGCAAGAGAGAGAAGGAGAATATGTGAGCAGAAACAATTACTGTATCAGGGTTTTTTCATGCTGTACAAGTTACTCTTTGCTTCTAGGCATATGCTGTCGCCTCTTCCTGGTGACTATCTCCAGCCAAGTGAGAGATCTCTGACAGTTATCCTTCTTCAAGGTTCAGTTGTTCACAAAGATCCGTGCATGCTGGGCTTTGACATGATAACATGTATTGAATTGTGAGTATACTTACCTGGTTAGTTTCTTTCAAAGAGGATTCCAAATTTTCTCTAAAAACCAGATCTGCTGATAAAACAGACATTTTTGTCATATATACTGCAAACCCTCTTTCTTAGTTGGAAGGAACTTCTGGTAAATTAAAGTATGCTGTCTTATATTTCAAATTTGTGAGGGAAGTAGTACCAAACTAATGTCATAGGGAAGCTTAGAGCCTACCAATCTAATTTGCAGACTTGTAGGTAGTGCATGCATGCTTTTGGAGGAAATGGTAGAAAAATGTATGTGAAAGAGGGAAGCAAACTGAGTTGGTGTATATATAAAGAAGATAAATTTACATCAGCTTATTATAACTCTGTGTACTTTCATTATTCTGTTAAAGGAGATGTCCTCAATTTGATCAGGGAAATAAGATCTTTGTAATCTTCTCCTTTCAGAATAGAACATCTGGAGGAAAAAGAACTGGAGAAATTTCCAGAAGTTGTATTTGGGTTTATGTCTCCAAGTATGATCATAATTAGCACACCAAACTCAGAATTTAATCATTTGCTTTCAACTGTAACATCATTCAGACACCCAGATCATAAATTTGAATGGAATCGAGCACAATTTCAAAGCTGGTGAGTTCATGCTATGTTTTGTATCTTTGGCAATCACAAATTAATAGACTTGGTTGTGGTTAAAGAGCAGTAAAATGATCCTACCCTTAATGTTGATAGCTTCTGTCATTCTGATGTTATTGTGGAGTTTTCCATTTGTACCCTACTGCTTATTTTAGAAATGGCAGTGCATGTGCCACAATATGATAGGTAATCCACTTTTATTCTAAATATCTTATTCCTTTGTTTAAACCCCTGGACCTTTAAAATTACATATGCACTTTAGTAAAGTGAACGTCTTGACAAGCAAAAACCAGGAAATTTCTCAAATGCAGATGCAGTGGTGTTGGTCTTGCATATCACTCTGCTTCCTTCCTCGGGCCACCATTCCTGCCAGGTCTCTTCACCCATGTTTACTTCTATAATACAAGAACCAGCAGTCCATGTAAAAATAGTTTAAATTTAATTATAGAATTATAAGGTGATTGTGAGACAGACAACCAGGAAGACAGGGTTGGAGTTTCCAACCTCAGGTTCACCCAGTAATTGCAGGGGAGACATTAATCATTTTAGAAGAAACAACAAAAGATGGAGATACAGGAAAGGGAAATAGATTGGTAGAGTGAGAAAATGCAGCCCCTAGAGCAGTGGTGGCGAACCTTTTTGAGCTTGCATGCCCAAACTGGGGAAACAAACAAACAAACAGCGGGCGGTGTGCTGCAACGGCGGTGGAACCGGAAGTGGTGGCGAAAGGGGGAATCTCGGCACGCAGGTGCCTCGAGACCCCAGTCTGGATCTGCTGCCAGCACCAGCTGCTCCAGATCTGCCTGCCAAAGCTTCTCAGGTTTGGCTGCTGGGGGGGGGGAGCAGCAATCTGGCATCTTATGGCTCACGTGCCGGCAGAAAGGGCTCCATGTGCCGTCCGTGGCACACATGCCATAGGTTCGCCATCACTGCCCCAGAGGATAAGTAAGAGTGGAGGAGGAGAAAAAGATGGGAGGCAGTGGCTTATAAAAAAGGAGTTTGGATGATAAGGGGGAAGATTGGAAGGTTGCAGTGAAGGAACAGGTAGTGGAAGTAAACTTGGTAAATTTAGGGAAGCAAAATGAAGTTCATGGCAAGGATGGAAAGAGATAGTTAAAGAAAATTCCTAGAAAGGGAAACTAGCAACCTGAGTGCCTAGACTACTGGTTCTTAACCTTGGGTTACTCAGGAGTTTTGGACTGCTACTCCCAGAAGCCTTCACCACCAGCTGTCCTGACTGGGGTTTCTGGGAGTTGCAGTTCAAAAGCATCCAAGTAACAAAGGTTAAGAACCACTGGCCTAGACCATTGGTTCCCAAGCTTTTTGACTCGCAGCTCCCTTGACTTACTTTGACTAAATATGATAGTTTGGGTGACGAGTGGGGAGCAGGGAGGTGGAAAACTCAGCCTGAGGATTCCAAGTTGCCCCTGGCTGGGTTTGGCAGTGTCCTGAGGCACTGCAGCTCAGTTTGGGTGGAGGCAGCAAGATTACAGACCGTTCAACTCCCAGGAAAAACGTTGTATGGGCGGGAATCATAGCGATGAGAGAGATGTCACTTGCACAAGAACTTATTTCACTGGGAGAGCAAGAAGCTGCTGTGCTCGACTGGCCCCTGATTCGGGAAAGGGGCTGCCAAACACCCCTTATTCAGGAAAGCACAATAGGGAGAAGGGTGGAGTTTGACCACTTATGTTCGGTGGGGCTGTATAAGCCATTCCTGTTGTAGTACCCCTTGCCTTGCCTATGTGAATTCCCTGTTGCATCCTGAAGAACATTTGGAATGTCATTGTTGAACCCCAAAAGGGACACAGAAATGTTAGGAGAAGAATGGGGTATTGAGTCACATAGAAAGAATTGCATTGTTCAGCCTACATTATGGGAAGTTGACTGTGTTGAAAGTTTGAATGGTTGTTGAATAAAAAGTATTACTGTGGTCTCTTTATCTGTGGCACTCCAGTTCTACTAGTCTACTAAAATTTTAGTATTGCCAAATGTATTCATATGCCATATCTAGAACCATTAATGTAGATTTTATTTACACATTACTTCCTAATGATAGTGTGTAATCTGAAGGAAACATACTGGTTTTCACAAGTGGTGTCAAATTGCTTATTTCTCATTACAATAAGTGATAGGGGTTTATCCGTAATTGCTGTATATGCTGAGATTAATTCCAGAACACTCATTACAATGATCATAATCTAAACATACTGCCATAGGCAGAGAAAATTCTAACGGGGTGTATAACATGCTTGGTAAAAGTGACAAGATTAGTTGGAATAAATCCTTCTAAATTACTTTGATACAGTATTTTGGTATAAATCTAGGGCCCTTGATGCTGCAGCTCGCTATGACTATACAGTGGAATTTACTGGATTAGGAGCCCCACCTCCTGGAAAAGATGTTGGTTTTTGTACACAAATTGGTGTATTTGTGAGAAATTATCTAAAGAATGGGGAGCATGCCCATTTTGAGAAACACCAAGAATGTGTTTATAAAACTGTAAGTAGATCTCTGACTTCCTAGAAGGACTAAGAAAGGACTGTTTTGTAAGAAAATTGTTGTTCCAATTGTTGTATCTCTTTAACATCAAATAGCCTTGCTCAGTAATGTCTGGGAAGGAAATTGTATTGATTTTCAAGTGTACTTCCAAATAAATGTCTTCTTTGATTGATGAACCAATGGCATAAATAGGTGCTTGGGGGTTTAAAATGGCAACCAGAGTATGAAAACAATTCCTCCTATCAGTTTATATACTTTAAATTTTTATTCATGACCAGCACATTTTTCAGAAAGGAAAATATTTATTATTATACTTTACATTTTAAAAGTGTACAAAAGCATTATCAGCTGATTAAGTATAAAGTACCTTTTTAATGTATATGAAAGCCTAGTTTAGAGTATAAAACAGAAGTTCCTGCCAATGGGCTGAATCCAAGTTTGGTCCTGTTTAAAGTAAATCCACTACAATGAATGGTCTTTTTGCTCACAACTTGCTTACATCCTGCTGATTTCAGTAAGCCTATTGACTACTCTAAAGTAGGCCTAAAGTTGGATTTAGCTTTCTGTGTCTTAAGATTAGTTTTGAGCATTTCAGTATAAAATTCTAATTTCACTGTAACAGCAGTGAAAAAAATGAAAGTAGGAGAATTAAGCAGATTACTCTAAATATGTAATCTAGATTAATTTAAATTGTAAATTAAAATTTAAATGAAAGTTATATTTACCTGATTTCACATTACGTTTAACTTAAAGGCTATTTCTTGCACAGACATGGTGCTTTAGTACATCAGTCCTGTAGAAATGGAGTGAGCAAAATATGGTGGTTGGGATCCACATCACTTCCCCCCAAAATTCCTCCTGCCAGTGCTTTCAAGCACACAGTTTCATTTTAAAATGAAGTGTGCAGAAAGCAGATATTTTAAGGCAGTGAGCATATCTGGAAGTGGATCTGTATATTTGATAGGATTTTCAGTAGCAGAATTAAAGGAAGAGTAGCATTTTCTTACACTGCCAAATAGGGTTGAAAGTGGTGTGCCTTGGGAGAAAGCTTGTGGACTATCAGTTGCCTACAACTGCTATGAGTAGTCCCTTGGGGACAAATCTTGTTAAATTCAACAGGACTTACTTTGATCTGCAAACAATCATAGTGTTGTATGTGAAGTGTCCTGCTAATTTTATGCAAACTCTGTCCAATATGGCAAGAAGCCTTATTCATATTATACGTCACATAGGCCTTGCTTTTCTTTTTTTAAAGGCAGAGCTTGATGGTTTTCAAAAGTACAAGAAGCATAACAGCTATTATGCTGTAAGTCACTGTGGTCAGAAGAACATAGAAGTTAAATACTGTATTCTGTCTTCTAGCATTGTCTCCAGTGGTTATTGTGGGGTTTTTTGGGCTCTTAGACTATGTTCTGAAGGTTGTTCCTAACGTTTCACCAGTCTCTGGCCAACATCTTCAGAGGACAGCACTCTGCTCTGGTGCAGTTTGTTTGGGAGTTGAGTATTTTTAGCTGTGAAATCAGCTTTTGTCATTTTTGGGAGATGGGTGATTATGGTGATCAATGTGTTTTTGTTGTGAGTGTATTGTTATGATAAGGAGGAGAGATCTGTCACTGTGATTGATAGGTGTCGTTAGCTGGTCTTTTGTGTGCAGTGATCCCTGGTCCTTGTGGCACCAGAACACAGAGTGCTGTCCTCTGAAGATGCCGGCCACAGAGACTGGCAAAACGTTAGGAAGAACAACCTTCAGAACACGGTCTAAGAGCCTGAAAAACCCATTCCCAGCCGTGAAAGCTTTCGCGAATACATTGTCTCCAGACTTGTGCTCATTGAAATTTTGTTGGTACTGGAGGAAATGGCTAGGGCAGCAGTTTTCTCCAGTTCTCCTTTCCTGTGTTGTCATTAGCACATCCAATCCTATTCTGAGTTATGAAGCCATCTAGAGTAGGACGTTTGGTACAAGCACTGCGGTGAAAGGAGAACTGACTATCTCATTCTGTGCCTCCAGCAGGAAGCCCTTTGTATCTCAGAACAGGCCTTTCAATGGAGGGCAAGAGTGAATCTAAATAAATGTTTAATTATTTGCTGCTTGTGTTGATTAAATTGATGAGACTTGATTGGTTTTCCATATTTGAATTGCACTATATCAACATGTTGCTTTTTCTTCTGTGTTTAAGGTTTTTAAAGCTGTGTATCCAAGTCTTAAGGATGAAAAATATTTGCAAAATGCAGTAGTCAGTGAAGTTGTTTGGACAGCTCATATGATAGCAAAGAAACTATTATCCTACAGAAATGCTATGTATGGAAAGCACTGTGATGATTCGCGTGAAACAGAACTTGCATCTATGTCATTCCACTGTTTCTGGAGACATCTGGATTACCCTTTGGAAACTGATGGGGACAGTAAAAGTACACAGCCATTTATTAATGGAAGCACTGCTTACGTACCTCTTGCAAAGATCTTTTCTTTTCCCAAAGTGAATCAACTTTGTGGTGACCTTGAAACACTTAATAAGCTCATAACTGGCAAAATTGCACTGAGCAGTGATGGATCTACAGTGCTGATTGATACTGAATATGAAAATGAAGAGCAGGAGAATTACCAATGCGTCTAAAAACATTTGCTGATTTTGCGGCTTCCCTAACAGAAGTCTAATGATTAGTACTGTATACGCCTTTGGTTGCTTGTTTAAAAATAACAGATAGGAACCTCTCAACATGCCACTTTTCATGGTGAAAAAGCAATGAAAGGGGGAGGGGCTAGGTGCTGCTCTACTGGATGGAAATGGGTAAGGCCTGTGTAGGGTTTTAAGGGCTGTTTCACCGATAGTAATCTCCAGCAGTTTGCTTAGTGAATGTTTTGATGTAAAAAAGGTAATTATTACTGAATCTGCATAATACTTTTTTGGCCTCTGGAAGGTCTGTGTCAAAGTATATTGGCATGCTATACTTAATATTTCAGAACATGAATATAAGGATTCAATGTTTTTTGTAGACAAAGTAAATAAGCTTTTCATTTATTTATTTATAATATTTTTTAGCCGCACCATTACCAGTGGCTTCTGGGCGGCGCTATATTTCTGATATACGTGGCGCTAGAACACACATTAGGAACTGATTTTCAGTGAATCAACAACATACAGTATTTGAGTAATTCACAGTAAGCAGTGTCAGCATTGGATTTCTGCAAGATTGACATACAGCATGGAAAAAGAAGGCATGAACATAGCTTGAAAACAAAAGATTTCTTGATCCAGTGTAAGCCGTACACAAAGCACCAGCTACAATCTCACCTAGCCTTTGAATCAAGACCAGCAAATCAAAGTGATTGTAGTACAGATGAGCAAAGGAAATATATTCTATAAGATGGGCAAAAACATAAACCAGAAATTATGTTCTACCAAAGCTCACATCCCTTATCTACTCACTGTCCAAAATCTTGTTGTGTTACATTGGGTCAGATGTCACCTGAATTGGGCCCCAGAAGCATTTAATTTACATGTTTATACCCTGTCTTCAGTTCCCTAGGTCTCCCTTTTCCCCTGGTAGTGTCTTTGAGAAACTTGGGCCTGGGGGGAGGTTGTGCTTTAAAAGTCAAAAATAGTTGCCAGATTATTATGGTGAGGATTGGGGCTGCTGACAATTGCTGACTTTTATTTATTTAAAATATTTATATGCTGCCTTTCTCCTAAAGGATCCAAGGAGACTTACAGATTGAAAGAAACAAAGTTAAAAGCTAAATAATTACAAAATTTTAAAAGCATTTTACAGATATTAAAACTCATAAGAGCAATATTAAAAGGTCAAGTAAAACAGAATAAAATAATTCCCTTTCTCAACTAGTCATTTGAAGGAAGGCCTGCCTGAAGAGAAAGTCTTCATCTGCTTGTGGAAGAAGAGCAAAGTTGGGGGCAGTCTGGTCTCCTGTGGAAGGGGGGTACCAGACTCAGAGCAGTGACAGAGAAGGCCCTTTCCCCACCAAACTTGCTTGTGACAGTGGTGGGATGGAAAGAAAACCCTCTCCTGATGATTTTAATATGCAGGTAGGCTCAAAGGGAGATGCAGTCTTTGAAATAGCTTGGACCCAAACTGTTTGAAATTCTCCCACCCTATTCTGCTTGGTTCCCCAAGATAAAAGGGAGACCTTGATGGTCTCAGAACCTGAAATTAGGGGATAGCAACCTTTAGTGTAAATTAAATGTTTCTGGTGTCAGATATGCAACAGAACGTTGCCCCTTTGTTGGCAAAGAGATGGTTTTTCTAAAAAAAATGTTAAGCTTGGGATTGAAATAAGCAACACCTGTAACTTCAAAGGAAAGCACATAGCTTAAAAATCTAGGTGGTCTGGTTCAGCATTGTGGCTTTTCAGTTCTGCAGAAAACTGAAAAAAGCCTACTGGATTTCTGATGAAAAGACCTCATTCTCTAGAACCAGACTGGGAGGTTCACTCAGACATATGGATAGATTGCTGTTTGCCACTTGAAACTAAATAGAAGCTTGCGGTAGATCAGTCTCTTCAACTGCAGGAAAATGAGCTGTGGGGGTAAAGACAGCTAATTTCTATGCTACTTCATGCTTGAAAGAAAAGATGTTCTCAACTCCCTTTCCCCATAATTAACTTTAACTAGCATGTTAAAGTCACACTTTGCCTTTTGGTATTTTTATTTGGAAAAAAAAAACACGTACAAATGGAGAGCAAATACTTTTTTTAATTGAAGTTGCAAGATCACTATAAAGTACTTTGATTTCAAAATTGGGTTTCACTAGAAAGTGTTAACTTTGGGTACCACTGTACAATTTACACAAAATTAATGTCATACATAAATATGAAGATCATTTCCCAGTGTCTTGAGGACAGTTGGAATCACTTCATGATAATCGTTCACCTGACAAAATGACAAGATAGCTGTTTAAACACTGAATGGAATATGAAGCAAAACTACGATGGTTCAAGAGAAACCTGCCTTCTTGAAAGCTTTGTCCAACAGGGAAAGTAGGCATTTTCACTACATTTGAATGCACAAGCCGTATGTAGATTGTGAAACACTTGACAATTCCCAATACACTGAATAAGTGATCTTAATGTAAATTGTTTTATCCTTTATGTTCTCTCCATGCATACCTATAGTCTTTCTAGATCAGCCATTTTTCAAAACCAGCAACGTTCTTCAATAAATTCAATACTTCCAGTGGTTTTTTTACATAAATATACTCATAGAAAGTTCAAGGTACATCTTAAAATACATGTTGATGAATATACTCTTTCCATTATTTAAATAGCAGCTTAAAAAATTAAATCTTAAACTCCATTAGAACAAGTTCAAGCTGAATAAAATGCTTTATAAAGCAGTGATAGTTATTTCTGGGTACCATATAAAGAAGAAATAATTCTCATTTTAATATTTATAATTTAAAGACATGAAAATGAATTTGACATATATAAAACAATATTTCAAACATTAAAAATCCTTCATTTTGTTAGATTTCAGTCTTGCCCTATTGCCAAAATCATGTTGCACAGTTACAGAAAAGGTGTTACTTTTATAGGCAAATTGCCATAAGTCAAGAAATCTGCAAATATTTTCTGTTGCTTCTTGAGTTATAACTTCTGGCAATTTGTCTCTAAAAGTTATCTTTTTACCTAACTGCAACAGGCTTAGCTGACATTTCTTCAAGAACATAGACTAATTCCTGTAAACAGGAAATGTTCTGCATCCATCATCTACAACAGATGCAGTTAAATATCTCAAGTTCTGAAACATGTAAATGAATTCTTGAAACTGAATTCTGTGATATTTCAAACAAGTTGCTAACCAACTGATGATTGTTGTGGGTTTTTCGGGCTCTTTGGCCGTGTTCTGAAGGTTGTTCTTCCTGATGTTTCACCAGTCTCTGTGGCCGGCATCTTCAGAGGACTGGAGTAGGAACTCTGTCCATACTCTGTTGCTGTTTGTTGGATAGTTGAGTATTTATAGCTGTGGGTGCACAGCTATAAATACTCAACTATCCAACAAACAGCAACAGAGCATGTACAGAGTTCCTACTCCAGTCCTCTGAAAATGCTGCCCACAGAGACTGGCGAAACATCAGGAAGATCTACCTTCAGAACACGGCCAAAGAGCCCAAAAAACCTACAACAACCATCAGATCCCGGCTGTGAAAGCCTTCAAGAATACTAACCAACTGTTGATACATTTGTAAATTGTTCACAGTGTTTTTAGCCTAAAATCCTGTTCCGAAAATAAAATGGGTTAAGGCTATTAGAAATGTGTTAATCAAATTGTTGCATAGGCACACTGCATTATTCCTTTTGTGCAAATCTGTATACCGTTTATAGTAAGAATTCCAGCAGAAATGTTGACCTGCACAATTTCCATCAAGTGTTGTCTACAAATAGCCCAGTAAAAGAATGGGATTTAAATGAGACCCAATTGAAAATGCGACAGAGCTAAAGCAAAATACTCATTAGGGATTCCATATAGTCAGTATTTTAAGGGTTATGTGCTCCATACATTGCCCTGTTCATCTGCAACATTATGGCTCTGGAAAACAGTACACATATATTTGCACAACAAGGCAAAAACCTTATAATTGTGATACAAACTACAGAAATATTATTTGTGGATGTCTCAGTTAAAGTTTTCAAATGGAGTGAATAAAGTTGCTATATAAAGTGCTCTGGGCAGCATAAACTAATCAGAGATTAACTGTTTACTAATTCTGAAAGCTCTTTAAAAATAGTTAATGTTCATTTTAGCTCAGAGCAAGGCACTCTTTCAAAATTCAATTTGAGATTTTATAAGATGAACATGCTACTTCATATGCCAAGCTGTTCATTACAAGTTACCCTCAAACAAGCTTTGAATTCCTATAGAATACCTATGATACTATAGTTTCAATTTTTGGTACAAATTAAACATCAGCACAATTAAACAGTATTCAATTATATTTCTAAGGGCCTTAGTCTCCTCCCTAGCATGAAATGCTGCATTTTAAATAGTAATTACATACATCCATATATCCTATTCAAATTTTCCGAGATCCACTCCCTCATTTTTAATAAACTTTTTCTTGTATATAACTGAAAGTTATGCACATTTGTAGTAATGTTTAATCTTAATTCCTGCAAGCTTGCTGCCTGAGTCATTTCCTCAAAGTAGCATGTCTGATTTCCATATTCTAGTTTGACAAACAACTAGTCAATGTTAAAAGTACTATAGAAAACTGACACAGATAATGCTTCTGCCTCTGAGGTCTTATGAAAAACAAAGCTTCAAACAGATAATATTACTGTATGTATGCATTCCTACATACTGAGACAGTTTCAACATATTGTGCATCATTTATCCTGTCTCCAAAAACAGTACTTTGATTTACACATATAATGCTGTAATAAATCCACCAACATACCTACAGTGGCTGGCAAAGTACAAGATGAAAAACTGCCTTACACCACAGGTTGATACAGAAGAGAGCATTTTGGTATAAGGAACCCGAACTGATAACTTAAGCCACTGTGTGCTGGCATGTTGGAGAAGCCCATCTCCAGTAGCATTAGGAAGGAAGTAAACATTGGAAATCGAAGAGTTCTGCCATTTTAGTCCAGATCTTCTAGCGTTTAATCACTACTTGTTCATATGCTCCAGATCCTACTCTGAAAAATTGGAGAAATGTTTATTCTTTAGATGGTATTAGCGAAAAGCTGTTTAGGCTGTTCCCATTTGGGGTCACACACCTCTTGTAACATCTACAAGTATGTTAACTGGTTTTAAAGAAATAACAATGACATTTTCAAGATTTTAACCACACATGCTTGAATGTAGTAGATGTGATCCAGAGAATTAGTCTTATTCAATTTCCACTGACTTCAATAAGAACGAAGTCAAGATTAAATTCATACAGATTTCATTGGGACCCAAAGTCATATTAACTAGACCCAATTCAGAATCATTGTCTCAATTCTGCAGCAATGAGTTCTGGATTGTGCTCATTCAGCAGTAAAATCAAAGTACACTTGGATAACTTTTAAAATGTTAATACAGTTGAATCAACTGCAATTTAATCCCATTTCCAAAATGTCAAAATACTACTTCCTGCATAAAAATATAGCTTGTATAACTAAGAGTCCTTGTATTTCAAAATTCTATTAGCAGTAAATATTGTGAGGTTATCATAGTAGAATCTTATGGGAGAATTACTTTGGGTTTTCAAATTTTACACATTAAAGGATATATATTCAGATTTTTGGAGAAAATATATCCTTTTAAAATTATTGTGTCACTGACAGGGAACATACATAGCATTATTAAATGTACCTGTTAGGTAAGTGATGACTTCCAAAAGCAGTACTCCCTCCAGGACCAACAAAAAGTCTTAGTCCTTCTTCTGAAAAAGAATGTATTTGAATTAAATGGGAAAGTTACCGTATTTTGGCTTTCTTGCCTCTTCTTCCCTGTTTTATTGCCTGTATCAACAAAAAGCAAAACCAAAAGCACCCCAGGATAAGCTGAGATTCCGGCAGGAGGAAACTGTAGATATGCCTGCCCTTGTGTGGCTGAATAGTTTCTTCTGCTCATGCTGGGTACTTAAGGGATCCAAAGCATTGTACCCAATGTGTGCTAAAAGTATTAATTTAAAATTTCGTGTATTCAGCTACAAGGTTAGTAATATTTCTCCACCATTCCAGATTTTTTTAAAATCCTATTATTTCTTGTAAACTAACAAGTAGTGTCTGGAATTCTGCTGCTGTTCATTTAAGGTTTCCGGCTAAGTGTAACTACTGTACTTGATGAGATGCTGGATTGCATCATGGTTGCACAAACAGGTGAAAGAGCAAGTATGTGACCAAGACATACCTCAGCACCTTGTGAATTAGCTGTATGCGTTAGGTAACTGGCTGCAGAGCCAGAAGTTGGGAGTTAAATTTCTCTCTGTGCCTCTGCCTCAGAGACAGCTTGTATAGCCTTGGACAAGCTGTGTAGCCCCAAATGCTCCCAGAAGGGAATAATAAATCACTTCTGTATACCTAGAAAAAAACTTAAGAGTCACTGCAAGTCAGAATTGACTTGATGGCATGGCAGTAATTAATTAGCCATAACAAACCTTACACAGGTTGTACGAACCTTATGCAAATATCAAAATGATTCTGCCCACTAAGTTATTAGTAATTTTGCTTTCTACAGACCAAGGTTTGCCTCAGGAATCCAGGCCCAGACTATTATGAATGAGAACATTTGGAGCTCTTCAGCAACCATCTATCAACAGGCTTTTGTTCACTTATAAAGGTTTCACAAACCTTCTGCACTTGAATCCAAACTGAAGTCTTGACTCTGCAGTATTTTTTCAACAATGTCATCTGCATCAACTCGGGTGGCATCAACCCTCTTTAGCTGTGATTCCACAGAATCCTGTTTCACTGGGTGCCTATGAAATATTTTAAGTTTCATGACTTTTAGATCAGAGAGCAATTCTGAATATTTCTGGAAAGAAAACCTAAGTAAATTGGGAAAGGTTTGTTTCGTTTTATACCTGTTTAATTTTTCAGGGGGCGCCTCTTTCATGGGCATCTCTAAATTACTGTCACTTCTTTTCATTTCAGCCTCTCCACATGGCTCTAGAATGCTACCTATGCCAGTTGATGTACTTCCCACAGAGGTATTTCTCTTATGGCAAAGATCAGAGATACTAGATGATCTGGAATGGCAAGTGCTGTACCCTAGAAGAGAACCGTCCAGAGCCATTAGTTTAACAGTGGCAAGTGTTCTTACCTCAGCTGATGTCACCACTCCAATTACCATTGCTATTTTAAACATGTTGCTTTCCCTCCTGTTTCACATAGGCCCTAAATATTCAGGGCTCGTTCAGTTATCAATATTCCATTGAAATACATGCCCATTATAATTTTATTTTAGGTACATGGAAGAGACAGAATTATTGTCAACTACTGTCAAAGTACTTGAAAACAATAAGCAAACAAAAAGGCATCATTTATATTTAACAGCACCATCTATCAAGCATCCAGTCTAGAAATTGGCACATGGGAAAAAGAGATGAAGGATGGAAATTAAGGCAGGGCAAAAATATGGAATTGCTGCAGTGATGCATACTTAGGATTTGTTGCAGCCAGTGCTGCAGCTTAAGAAGAGACAAAAAGAAAGGATTTAAAGGGAAATGCTTCATATTGCCTTTATGTGTGTGCTTCTATATTGCCCCATGCCTTCCACTCTGACTACCCCCTCTTCCCTAGTCTCTAATTTTTTTAGCTGGCCCTTACTGACTACCTTAGTACAACCACCATACTATGTGCAATGTTTACCATGTTTCCCCCCAAATAAGACAGGGTCTTCTATTAATTTTTGCTCCAAAAATGCATTAGGGCTTATTTTCAGGGGATGTTTTATTTTACAGTCATGTCATCTTCTGGTTGCTGCACAATGCTACACAACAGTGGAGGGTGGGGGTTCACTTAACTAGGGCTTATTTTTCGGGTAGGGCTTATATTACAAGCATCCTGAAAAATCATACTAGGTCTTATTTTCGGGGAAACAGAGTATGTATCTCCTGGTCAATGTTCACAAAGGAGGTAGGGTGGGGTGGACAAACAGTAGTTAATGGGCCACATGTAGTCCTGCATTATTATTTTGCACCCCCCAAGAAAAAGAACTGAAGTGGAAAATAAGCAACAGAACCACCATAGAGAAGGTAGTGTGGTGTGCAACTGAAATTTGGCACCAAATGACAAACATGTTTAATGAGTGAACACTATATAGTATTCTATCTTCAACTTCTTCATATGTGCTGCTGAGACTTCCTTTAAGACAGTCTCCCTACATCCTCCATGTCTTTATAGTTCTTATTCCTCCAGGGATCATTTACCTGCAGCTTGCTGATGTTGCTTCTCTTGTTCTGTTGGCCCCGTGACTCACTGAGTTAGTTTATGCATGCTGCTTAGTAACTGTATGCAAGCAGGGGAACATGTCTAATCTGATTTCACCAGTTCACAAAGCATTACCCCTTGGAATAAGGCAATTGTCTCATGCACACTAGACTTTGCAACTAGGAAGGTGTGCTATACACAGAGGAATACCACTGTTACCTTTAATAACAAGATTCTACCTTGTCCAACACACACTTCCAAATGAAAAGGTAAATGGGATGGAAGAACTCCTTTCACAGGCTCAAAAGGCAAGCACAAAGAGACTGTCTTTAAGCCTTTCCATACACAGAGTAAACAGAAATGCGTGCTAGAGTGGTGTGGCCCCATATCACACCAGGAACAGATAAGCAAAGTTTGGGCCAGAGGACCACTCCAGTATTATCTGGCCCACTTTTGTTACTGCAGGATAAAATATGGCCCTCAAGAGCAAGGGAGTTCCACATGCATAGCAAACATACTGCTCTTCTCCTTACCTACTAATGATGTGTCAAATCTTATATTTCATTTAAAAAGGGGCATCATTTTGTTTCACTTTCTAGATTTCTCAAGTTAAAAGTTAGCACATGTTCTACCCCTCCCCCATATCACTCTTACATAGATGCCTGGCACATGGCAATTTAATGGATAAAATTTTTGCTAGCACAGAGATGTGATGAGAAGTGTCACTTGGTTAATTTCCAGCTGCTTCTAAGTCACAGGTGCAAGTCCAATAAAGGAGTACCAGCCATGATAACAGTTTTAATTGTTCATTTAGTAATTTTAAGTCAAGAGATTTGCACAAAGGATGACGGTTTTGAGTTCTGAAAAACCTTCCCTGTTCTTGTTAATAATGTCTGTGAATCCATCAAAGCTTTTAAAAAATAAGTACTTAAATTTACATCCTTTTCCTGGAACAGTCAGAATATTTACTGGTATCAATAAACCTCCCACCTGACACTTTTGACTGCTGGCTGGCATAGCTAGAGGTCCTAGAATGCCCACATGCTCCAAATTCCTCTGGAACAGAGGTGCTCTTAGGTGCAAGATCTATAAAAAAGAAGACCACACAAAACTGCTGTATTAATTTTTCAGATAGATAGGCTGAAATCCTCTTGCACAGCTACATAAATATCACAGCTTTTGGAGGTAAATTGCCCCTGCTTAAGAAATCACTGTAGACGTTATAAGATGCAGACTGAATCTCACAACTCATTATGCAATAGATAGTGTCTATGATGATTTCATAATTTGAGGCAATTCACCCCCAAACCTGTGCCATTTGTGCTTCGCCAGCCTAACTGGGGAAAAAGATTTGAGCCACAGTCTATGCTGTAAGAAATTTGAGGAAAATGTACACTTTTTTTGGCAGATAGTTCCCAGTATTTTAAAACATACTACACATTTCAGCATAACACGAGTAAGTAACATGCAGAAGAAATAGATATTAGATTTTCAGATTGTCTTAGTTGTGTTGCTGTCTTGACCGCTTTGTATTCCTGATACAATTTTCTAAAACAATCAAAATCTCCAATGGAAAGAATGGGAACTGTTTTTAATGGGGAGATATGGGAGTGGGTGGAGGAGAGAAAATCAATGCATTTCTGTTGGTAGTATCTTTAACTGAGTCATGACTGGGTGAAATAATACACAGCTCTTATCAGCAAAATGTAAAAGGTTGTCTATCCTTAATAATCACTAACGGTGGATTTTAAAATGTCTACTCCATATTTGTCACTTATGATAACTAAGAACTAATCTATATATTCAGAAGAAATATCAAATACAGGCTCCTGTGATTACACCAATTTAGACCTCAATATTACATGTTTGAAATGATGCCCCACAATCAGCACAAGTTCCCCATAAAGGTGAAGGAAGATCCCACAACATGATATTCTTGTGACAGAGAATTTAATCATTTAACAAGTGATGCAATGCTTTCCCTGCATATGCAGATCAATCCTCAGGCAAATCTCTCTGTTATACCTGAATTGTTTTTTGTGAGACTCAGTTATTGACAAGTAGGCCAGATTTTGTTTTCTTGACTTACAGCCTTACATCAAGTGGTATTCCCATTCATCCAAACCTCCACTTACTTGCAATAATTGTTTCATTCTCTCAGACCTCTATCACAACATAGTTCTGTACCTGATACAGCTAGCTGTGATGATTTTGTGTTCTCTACACCCTTCCTGTCTTCATGTAGGGATTCTGGTTCTCCGGCAATTGATATAGACATTGCTGTAGATGGAGGCCTGTAATCAATGAAACAGACTGAAATTAAAGCAGGTCCTAATTGTAGGGTAAACACACATGCACTTCACGCATATTGAAAACAAGATCCAGTAAATTTGTGACATTTGTTCTAGCACTGCCATCCAATTTATCTTTTTCAATACCAAGATGACCCAACTCCAGTTGATCTTCAGAATTCATAGCTCCAAAAGCCTATGTTATTGCTTTTCATATAGAAACAATACTTTCAAACAGCAGATCTAACTTTTAACTATTTTCTATAAATTAAAAATCTAAACCCATGTTTTGCATATGGTACAACATTCCTGACACCCTCAATGACTGGACAAGATTATATTATTTACACAGTTTTGGAAAAGGGTACTATACAATTGCAAACCTAGCAGAAGATCAATGTCTTGAACTGAACAAGTCAACTTTACAATGAACTACAGCATTCCACCCCAGTACTATGTGGTGATGTATTTATGCTGCCATAAGAGATTTCTGACTTGTATTACCAGCATTGAGTGACTGCAAATCCAGCTGAAATGCTCAAGAAGCCAAATGCTTTTCCTTAAATGGTCACTCAAAAACTGAGTGACCATTTTAGGGAGGAATGCTTTTCCTTAAATGGTCACTCAAAAATTATTTGAGTGACCATTTTAGGGAGCGGAAAAACCTACACTACACAATTAGACTTGAAATAGCTGAGGTAAGGTAACGTGGCATCTGCACAGGTCATGAATATTGATATGCTATCTGCATGGACCAATGAGAGTGCTGGAGAGGCAGAGTCACGAGATATAATAAGAGTCTCTGCAGGAGGGGGAGGAGGGGAGAAGAGTCTCTGCAGGAGGAGGAGGAGGAGGGGAAATTACAGATGGAATTTTTGAGGGAAATTGGAGATTTGTGAGTAGAGAGAGAGGGTTGGTGGTTGAGAGTTTATGAAGTAGGATGTTTGGTTAAGAGTTAAATACATTGATTGTACCTTCATCATCTGTATTAATAAACAACTTTTATTCTGTTAAAAAGCATCACCTGTATTAATAAACAACTTTTATTCTGTTTAAAATGACACATGGCCTAGACCTCTATTATTAATAATACATAATGATGATGTAATTAACTGGCGGCAGCTGAAAGACACGTTGCTTGGGCCTTTGATTGGTGAAACAACCAAGGGACAGGCTGGAACGTGACTGGTACATATGGAGACCCACTTAAAAGGACTGAATGTTAATCAGAGGTTCCTAAATCTTTACCAAGTGTAAAATCCTGCATTTGTTCCCACTAATGTTCCCTCTAAGCCATGCTGGCACGCAGCTCTTCATTGAGAGTGTGCAGCTGACCTAGTGTTTTTGCCAACTGGATTATGGTCATGACTGGAATCCTGTGTGTAGCGGATGAAGCTGCTGTGCAGAACGCTGAAGAATTAGAAAGAATGTTGGTTCCCACAATTTACTAATTGTTCCAAGAGTGCTATTGTTATCTTGTACACTGATAACTGAAATTATTCATAGCCTGTTCCTTTACTAACAAGTTATTGTCACTTTGTCTGTTATCTTTATCATTAAATCAAGGGGCGAAGTATACAGTACATATGTCAGTTATATTGTTTCCATTTAATGACTGAGGAAGTGGTCTTAATTCACAAAAACTCACATTAAAATATAACATTTTAAAAGATGCCACAATGTTTTTGTTTCTTGCTTTTTGTTTTCATTTTCATTTTATTTTGTTTTTGTCTGAAGTGGTTGCTGTGTTCATCATGAGCATCTGCTCATAACACAGCAGAAAAGATTCAGAGATACAAGCTAATTAGCCATGTTAAATAAATGCCTCACAAGTATAAAAAGCATTACTTAGGAAACAGCTGTGAATATAAATGGCATAAGAATTATGATGTCTCCAACATTTTCCACAGCTGACCAAAGTATGTTCCCTTCTCTGGTACACTGTCAGGGGAAAACCTAAAAATTATAGCCTTTTCTTTTATCTCACTCTGTGTGTGCACGTGTGCATGCACACACGTGCCATCAAGTTGGAACTGACTTATAACAACCCTAAGAGGGCTTTCAAGGTAAAGTTACTGAAGGAGTGGTTTTACCAATGCTATCCTCACTTGTGAGTTTCCATGGCTAAGCAAAGATTTGAATCCAGGTCTCCTGAGTCTATGCACTACACCACACTGGATGTCTGAGAATTAGGTTCCCTTCCAGCTTTGCAATTCAAAGGTTATTATAAGTTCCATATACAAGAAGATTGTTAACAAAGAACTCTAGTAAACCTATGGCACCGCTCAAGTGGCAGTTGAGAGGTTAGGAAGTCTTCTTATGTCTAACCTTGCATGGGCAGTGGGCAAATCCAGTGTTTCTAGACTCCAGCCCTATTAAAGATATAATCCTGTCTAGAGAGTAGATGAAAGTCTGCCACATCTCAGAGAAAGTGGACCCTAATAGCTGTCGAACAAAAAAGGCAACATTGGTAATTAATCTTTGGTTGTCATGAAATTAGCAACTGCATTTCAAATTCAAACAGCAGAGTTGCAGAAACTTCATTTCAAAATATCCATTGTATATTCAGTTATATTGTTTTAACAGGCTGGAATGAAGATGCCGTTCCAGAAGATATTGGGGTTCATTTCCACGTTACATTCCAATGTCAAATCAAAATAGTGGATGAAATCCTGTTCTGCACTTCCATGTACACAATAATGATGATGTTATAATCAGCGGCAAATTGCTGATTAAAAAGAGGTTTCCCTTGGGGATTTCAGGGTACATGCAACTTAATTGCATTGTGTATGAGTTGCATGCACTCCAACATTACATTTAATCAGCAGCAATTAGCCTAACCAGGTGCTAATAATGATATAATCTCTGTTGCATACACAGAACCATGCAAGAGGATTTCAGCCAGTAAATCCTATTTTTAAATAATTAGATAAATTTTAGTGTCCAAAGAGAAATGTCTGCTTAAGGAAATATAAAATATGTTCAAAACCAGACATGTTTGCAATCATGCTAATAAATCTAATTCAAATTTTAAACAAAAAGTGTGCAGTGCAATAACAAATAACATCTCAACAGGAAAGAATTCCTTCAAACTGAACCAAGTAAACATTTCAGCTGCATTCCAAATGGGAGACAGAACAGAAACAACAATTAACACCTAGACAGTTAAACTCAGAATTTATGAATTGGAGCATAGACACTTAATATGAGAGTTTACAAATTAGTCCACCCTATCACATCAAAAACATTGTGAACATTAAATAATGCTGAAAATTCCTCCATTTGTCACTACCTTCATGTCAATGAATAGAATATATTAAAAGATGTATATACTGTCTTTCAAATGACAGAAACACTGGGCAGCTCACTATAATCAGTCTGAATTTTAAAAGTCTTTGCCAAACATTGGGCAAAATCCTTCTTATGCTGATTTGTAAGTGCAAACCACATTAGGGCACGGGAATTAATTAATTTAAAGCTTCATTTCCTCCCCCTTTCAGCTCCCAGTGCCTGCTTTTGTCCTGGTGAAGCCTTTGGGAGCCTTGGAGTGGGGAGCTTTTAATAGTATTCATTCATTCATTCATTCATTCATTCAACTTCTATACCACTCATCTGGTGACAAAGGCCACTTGGTAAAAAACTGACATCCGCAGTCCCAATTGCTGCAGCAGCAATGTTCTACTATTAAAGACAACCTCTGTCCTGAGGCTTCCAAGGCTTTTCCAGGTCAAAAGGGAGCCCTAGAGAGAAATGGCAGTTGAAATTAGGGGATAGGAAGCTTTAAATTAATTATTTCTGGTTGCCTGACCTGGTTTACACTGGAGGAACTGTGCCACCAGAATTTTGCACAATATGGCCAGTATTCAGCATTCCTGTGCACACAGCTCCAACTGCTGAAGCTGCTATAGCAATCTGAGGACCCACTGGAAAGAATTTGACTCTTTAGGGCCATTAGTAAGGTCCTATGATATATAAGATGCCACTTATATGCCTGATAGTATGACCAAGTCACATGATCAGGCATGTAACCACATATGACTGGCACATTGTCATGACAGCTTCTGCAGTTTGAGCTCAGTGTATGCAAATACTGAATAGGATACATTTTAAAGCACCAATACGTTTTAATAGTGTAGGCATTATTTTATTTATTTGTTTATTTATTCAATTTATACCCCGCCCATCTAGACTGAAGTCTACTCTAGGCGGCTAACAATAACACATAAAAGTAAAAACAATATAATAAAATAAAGACAACAGTAATAATATAGTTCAAGATGGCAAAAGTAATTAGGGGATGACAGGAGGGAAAGCCTGCCTAAAGAGCCAGGTCTTAAGTTTGCTCTTAATAACACCCAGCGAGGGAGCCAGACAGATATCTGAGGGCAGACAGTTCCAAAGGCGAGTGGCCACTGCCGAGAAGGCCCGGTTTCTTGTTCTTTTTCTCCAGGCCTCCCTCGGCGTTAGGCCCCTCAGACACCCATCTTGGCTAGAACAAGTGATTCGGGTAGATCTAGGTGGGAGGAGGCATTCTGCTAGATATTGAGGTCTTAAACCATTTAGGGCTTTATAGGTCATCATTAACACTTTGAAATCAATGCGGAAACGAATGGGCAGCCAATGCAGGGCAGTCAGAGTGGGGAAAATATGCTGATATTGTCTCACCTCAGTGAGAAGTCAGGCCACCGCATTCTGCAGCATTTGAAGCTTCCACATCAATCTCAAAGGTAGCCCCATGTAGAGCGCATTACAGTAGTCTAATCTTGAGATTACAAGCGCATGGACCAGAGTGGTGAGCGCCCCAACATCAAGATAGGGATGCAGCTGGGCAATCCACCAGAGATGGAAATAGGGGGAGCAGACCACTGACGCTACCGGGGTTTCCATGGCGAGCGCCGGATCCAGATGGATCTTCGCAGGGAGTCACTCCTCCAAAAGAGACGGAGTTTCTCAAACTACCAATGGCGGGGCCACCCACCCTCAGGACCATCTGTCCAGGTTCA